ATAGACAGACAGAAGGAGAGAGACAGAGAGATACCATAACTAGATAGACAGATAGGCAGGCAGATAGACAGACCGATGGGTGGATAGAGAGAGAGAGGATATGTATAATTAAGGTGACCAGACGTCCCTAGCGAGGCCGCGGGCTGGCACTAATCTCCGCGGCCTAGCTTCCTCCTCCACCCCCCTCCCCGGTCAACGGTGTCCCTCTTTACCAATCTGAAAATCTGGTCACCTTACCTTTGATCCTTTAATGGGAGCAAGCAGAAAGGGAGCAGCAGTTCTGTAAAACAAACTAGGTGTCAGCTGAAACCAGGAGCTGGTAGTGTTCTAGGCCTCTTTAAGGACGAGAGTTGCCGCAGGACTTGGGGCGCCTGCTTGTCTCTCAGCCAAATCCACCTCATAGGGTTGTGGGGGGGGGGGGGAAGAGGAGGCAAGAATATTAGCCATCTTCATTGCTTTATAATACAGAGACCATATTTTATTGGGAAAGATTAAAAACAAACCTGAAAAATGAGGCAAACGTGAAAGAGTTTCAAAAGAATAAAAAAGTGCATCTGTTATAAACTTTTATTTTCAAATGAAAATTAAATATCAAAACTAAGATAAACGTCACAAAAACCGCACATTCTAATAGATTTTCTGAAATAAAGGACTGCCTTGATAATAAAGGACACGTGGCCACTGTAGTTATACGTTTAAAACTCGGGATGTAATCCTAAGGAGGATGGAGTATCAGCCATCCAAAAACGGCGCCCTCCGGGGACCTCAGGCCCACCCAGACCAGCCCAAAGCCACGCGCGATGCCTCCCCAGCCGGCGCCGCCCGATTTCTTCAGCGGAACTTCTGGCGCGGGAACCGTTTCTGCCCGGAGGTGCAAGGCAGGGGTGCGCGGGCCGTTGTCTCACCGGAAGTTCCGGGGAGCAAACACCGGAAGCGCCTTTCGACTCGGCCGGGCGTCGGGAAGGAGTCGCGCGCGATGGGCCGCAGCCGCTCCCGGTCGCCTCCGCGGAGGGGTGAGCGGGGTGGTGGGTCCCGATTGCTCCGGCTGCCCTCGAGGTCTTTGACTTCCCGGCCACCTTCCCTCCGCCCAGGCCGTTCTGCTTAAGGCAGGCAGCCCCTCGGAAGCCTTTCCCGCTTTTCCTCTAGCCGTGGAGCTCGGAGCGCCTTTAGCGGGCGGCGGCTGCCTTGTGCCGTAGCGCAGAGCCCCCTCGGAAGGCCCCCCGGGAAGAGAGAGGAGGAACGGCCGGCCTCTTGGGGCTTCCGATTGCAGGGAGGGGGGGGGGTACGTGGCCTTTTCCTTCCCTTCCCCTTTCCTCACCCTTGATTGAAGATTAAATGTTTAAGCCTGGTTGAAATGTCTTGAAGAAAGAGAAGGCGTTCTGCGCTGCTTTCCTTTTTAGACTAATCCCTGGAGGGCAATATCTTTTCTCCAGTATCCTCCAGTTCTATAATCCTTCATTTTTAAGGAAACATGGCAGGATGTAGAATGGTGGTTTAAATGATACGTGATAATTGATGGCAAAATACTTTTTGTGTTTTTCATTTGAGTATCTTGCTTATTGTAAGCCAGGAGAAATTGGAATTAACTCTATATGATATTGTAAGTTTCATGGAAGAAGAGTTCAATAAAAGCATAGAATGCAATTAAAAAAACAATATTGTTGAAATGTCTGCAAGAAAACACTGAGGATCCCTCAAAGTATTATTTAACATTGGAGCAGTCTGTAAAGCATCTGTGTCTGGAGGACCAAATTTGCTGAAGTTGTGACAATATTTCAGGTGTGATGTATTAGTTTAGGACACATATTCCTCTTCGATAGAGGGAACTTACTGCCTCTGTTGTTTTACTTTGTAAAAAAAGAACGCCGGCGTTCCAGATCCACCTCACGTGAAAGAGAGAGGAGGAGACGGGAGCGATCAAGATCTCGAGAGAGAGACAGAAGGAGAAGTCGTTCTCGTTCTCCACACAGACGAAGATCTAGGTGAGAAAGTAACAATATGTGGTATCAACTAACTCTTCCGCTAACAGTAACCTATTCCATAAAGAGTAGTCAGTTTAAATAAGAATAGACCTGCCAACTGCCATTGTTGTGGGAAATTATCACGCATCTCCTCCCACTAATGACTGCAGAACTGTAACTTTGTTGCTTGTATCCTTACAATTTATACTGATATTGTTTCCTGATTGCTTATTTGTACGCTGTGACTATCATTAAGTGCTGTACCTTATGATTCTTGATGAATGTATCTTGTCTTTTTATGTACACTGAGAGCATAGACACCAAAGACAAATTCCTTGTGTGGCCAATCACACTTGACCATTGTGTGGCCAATCACAGTTGGCCATTGTGTGGCCAATCACACTATTCTATTCTATTCTAATGGAGCAGAATTATTTCCTTCATCTAATATAAATTTGGAAACATCAAAACTGTTTTCTAAATAAACACTAAAGAGACTTTAGGAATTGTGGAGTCCCACTCAAATTCTTTCACAAATTAGTTATTTCAAAAAGAAAAATGTTTTTCTAATATCTGTTCATTCTTTAAACTATAATCAAATTGAAGTTATTGCTCAGTGTCATGGCTACAAATTTATTGGACTGTTGATTATAAGGGTTTTTGTTAATCCTGCAGGCATAGCTAACTGATATTTATAATTGTATCCAAATAAATAATTTATGCCTGATAACCAAAACAAAAGAATTAGATAATTTACATCTAGATGATCATTTTAATATTAATAACATACAGCTCTACAAGGATGTTATATTCTCGCTAGTTATTTTTTCATATCATTTTATACATAAATATACTACATTTGCCTAGTGTTAGAAATGTAATTTCATATAAAGCTGAAGAACACAACAAATGTATAGCTCTGTGTTATCAATTCAAATTTTATGTATTTTGCTTTAGCTATTAGGCTACGCTGTCAATACTGGAATGATTGTACATAACACTCCCCGAAAAGGACTCCATTCCTGTGGTAGGCAGACTAGCTCTGTTCTTTTTCCTGCCACTTTAATGTAGATTAAAGGAAAACAAAACAGTGATGATTGTCTGAGGATGCAGTTATGCTTCTAGGATGCATCCTTTGTTTCTGCTTTAATGCTCCTGTTCTAGTTATTTGAAAATAATACAAAACCCCCTTCATTTTGTCTCATAATACAAATACATACTTTTTTTTGCTGTTAAAGTGAAACCTGCGCTGGTTTGACATTCTAGATCTCCTCGGCGGCATAGATCCAATTCTGCTTCTCCTTCCCGGCAGAAAGAAAGGCGAGAGGATGAGAAGAAGGACAGCAAAGACAAAGAGCATCAAATCACAGGTAGCAACCCAGGTGGCACACCTTGCTGTGAGGTTCTGGTTTCCACTCTTTGCTTTGTGCATTGGACAACGTTTAATGGGAAGCCTTTGAACAATCAGCACTGGACTGTTTGGTCATTTCCTGGTCTTGGAGAGGACAAAGCCTCCCCACCCCTTTATTGAGAGCTAACTTTTACGATAAGACAAGATAAGATAAAGATAAGCTTTGTTGTCACTTTCTTCTGTGAACACACTGGCACACATAAAAAAATGAAATTTTGATGCCCACTCTCTTAATGTCCTGTATTTAAACCTTAAAAGCTTTCCACATCATTATTGATCATTTCTAATAAAATGGTGCCTGTTTCCAATGCATAGTCCTCCCTGATTACAGTTGTGGTTTGGTCTATTTTTTGAGCACTTCTGACAATATTCTGTTCAAAATTGCAGGACTTCTCTATATAGGGTAAAAAAATTGCAACAGAAAAAATACAAATTAATAAAATGAGAAACAAAATAGCAATAAAACACATTGGACTTAATGCAATGACTTTTAAGTTTATGGGGTCTCTATCTGGGGATCAGTTTCTTGAGGAAAAGGAAAATGTGCTTGGGATGAGGCAAACAAATGTTTTTCTAGACCTTTCCCACAGTGGTGTTGAAAGACCCAGGAAATGGGCAGCACCTTTCAAATGAGGCCTTCTTCCCCATCTTTGAATAAGATGAGGGTGTGATTTTTTTAAAATAAGACTTCCCATCGATTGTGAGGTTCAGGCCCAACTGCTCGTAGATCCCTTTCATGGAGAAGGCCACGGTGAGCTGGTGGCCTTCCAGCTGTACGTATACTTGGAGCTTAGATCTATTTCATGCCCAGCTACAATACAGGAAACGCTTTGGTTTCCCTGATTTCTTAGTCAAGGAATTTGCTGTTGTGTTAATGCTCCAGGATCATTTGTTACACTTGATATTAAATAATGCTCAGGTTGGGAATGAGATATTTTATCTCCCTGTCATGCCTTGTTTTCTTACGCAGAAGAAGACCTGGAAGGCAAAACAGAAGAAGAAATTGAAATGATGAAAATGATGGGATTTGGCTCATTTGACACCACAAAGGCAAGCAGATTTTTTTCCCTTAAATGTTAAAACGTGTATGTAAGCTACATCTGCTGTTAAGGTGGCAAGCTACAAGCAGGATGTGGAAGGATGTCTGCATTGTAAAGAAAAGTTACAAAACTGGTGAGTGCTGAATCCAACTTTTGAGAAACTCTGCTATAAGAAAGGGCACCTAAGGGCAGAAGAAGCAGCAACAGATGAAAGTTAGTCAGGGAGAGAAGCAACCTAGAACTAAGGAGAAATTTCCTGACAGTTAGAACAACTTGCCTCCAGAAGTTGTGAATGCTCCAACACTGGAAGTCTTTAAGAAGAGACTGGACTTCCACTTGTCTGAAATGGTATAGGATTTCCTGCCTGAGCAGGGGGTTGGATTAGAAGAACTCCAAGGTCCTTTCCAACTCTGTTCTGTTCTGTTCAGACATCACAAGCCAAAAGGTCTGGGGAGTACACTTCCATGTAGTTAAAGGCAGTACCACACACCCTGAAATTAATGTGCAAAATGTAAAGACAGGAGGACCAAGAAACACAACAAAGGAAAAGAAACTCTTCTTACCATATATGCATTTTCCCTATGGATAGAACCTGAAGTTCCTTAACAGAGATCTTCTTTAATCTAGACCTAACTAATGTAGAGAATGGCTTCTTTTGTGCAGCTTACGGTTTTCCCTTAGGCATGAAGTAAAATGAGCCTCCTATGATTAATGTGTGTCTTTCCATTTAAATAGAACAGGGCTGGAAGGGACCCTGAAGGGCCAAACCCAGTTCAAAGCAGGAGACATTACACTATTCCAAACAAATGGTTATCTAATCTCTTTGAAAACCTCCCGTGAAGGAGCACAAAAAATCTCGGGAGACAAAGCATTCCACTGATTATTCCTCCTTAGTTCTAAGTTGCAACTCTCTTTGATAACCTTCCAGCCGTTACTTCTTCTGAACATGTATGAGACCATCCGGTTAAATTATTTTGAGAAAGCCATTTCTTTAGTAAACCTCCCAAGGTGAGGGCTAACTCCCACTGTTCTTGGGAAGTCCTTAACAGCTGACTTTTCCAAAGACCTTGAGCGATTGAAAGAGCAAGAAAGACGAACCCATGACTCGAGCAGAGGGAGCATCCTGCCACAGGGGCACATGAGCCAAGTGGAGTGGACACATTTGCTGGCTGTAAAGTGAAGTGTGCCAGGTGAACCATGCCAAAGGGCTCCCAAGGTAGCTGCACTTGTGTTGGCACAAGCAGTAAATACATAGCAGATGGGATTTCTGCGATTTCTGGGTAGTCGGCAAACTTTCTGCTGAGTCTGGGAATAATGCAGAATGAAACATGTTGGACTGGCAGTGGAGGAGGAAATTGGTGAGAGGACCATTGCCATCCTTTCAGTTGTTTGAAAGTGATGGCTTTTTTCCTTTGTTTTGCAGGGCAAGAAAGTGGATGGGTCTGTAAACGCTTATGCTGTCAACGTGTCCCAGAAACGGAAATACAGGTTGGCATTTATTCCCTTGAAGAGATTGGCCCTTGAGCGTAGGAGCTGCCGGGACCTTCTGTGCTCAGCATCACTTGATCAACACAACCTTTGCAAAACTTGCTTTGGGTTCCTTCCTAACTTTTTAGAAGCAAAAAATACCTGGCTTTATGAGAGAGAATTCCTTATTCGCTTACTTAGCATGGGGCAATCGTTAAGGTGTTGGAGACCCAGAATCTTGTCTTTGCTCAGTTACTGAGGCTCCCTAGAGGGCTTGAGACGGTCATTGCATTCCACACAAACTTGCCTCACAGGACTGTTATTGTGGGAAGAAGCACTTGGTGTGCTGCCTCCAGTACCTGAATTAGAGTCCAATAAATGTATCTGCTTAGTTGATTTAACCCATCTTCCCTAGATTCTGGAAAAAATATTCCATAATGAAAATTAATCTGTAAAGCAGGCCCAAACCCCTTTGTCAAGATAAGACAGGAAAATTCCTTTCCCCAAATCAAAGTTTATTCAGCCTGTGGCATATCATGTATGGACTAGCTGTGTGTGTGTGTGTGCTGGTCTTGTTGTATTTGGGTCTTTTCCCATGTAAGATTTTGCACGGGAATAGACCCGAATACAACAAGAGCAGCATACCTACACCCGTGAAAATCTACAAAAACAAATACCTACACACACACACAGAGTACTGTGCAAAAGTTGTAGGCAGGCGTGAAAAAATGCTGTAAACCTTCAGAAATATAAATAATGATTGCTTATTTTTGTCAATTTTCAAAATGCAAAGTGAGTGAACAAAAGAAAAATTTAAATCAAATCAAATTGCCTTCAAAACAGCAGCAATTCTTCTAGGTACACTTGCACACAGTTTTTGAAGGAACTCGGCTGGTAGGTT